GACTTAGAAAAGAGTTATGATATTTTTTTCAAACATAAAATAATGCTTATTAGACGAATTTTGAAAATACAATCTAAATTGACCTATAAAACATACTTCCTCCGTTTTTCTTTAGATGACGCGTTTAATTTTGGCACACACTTTAAGGAGAGGAGAGAGAATGTTAAAGCAATTAGGTAGACTATGGGCTTTAGTTTAGTTTATCAAGTTTGTAGCTTAGTGGGTTGTAGTGGGGTGAGGGGTCAATTAAAAATGAACTTTTCAAAAAGGATTGGAATACACTTCAACTAAAAAAAATGGAGGTAGTAAGTAATCTTTATAAGCACGATGCATTTATACATTGAAACCTTTCACTTAACTATAAATAAGAACACTCGTAAACAAAACACTTTAATTTAAATAAATTACTGCCTCCGTTTTTTTATTATTTGCTCCATTTCTCCATGTGCGGAGTTTTAAGAGAAATAGTATAAAGTAATAAAATATGAAGGATGAGGTTGGTGGAAGAAGAAAGTATGATAGTTGAAAGGAGAGAGAATATGGATATATTAAAGTATGATAGTTGGGGGGTCCACTAAGAAAGAAGAAATTAGTAAAATATTGTGAAAGATTTCCAAAAAAGGAAATAGAGCAAGTCATAAAGTGCGGCCGCAAAAAGGAAAATAGAGCAAGTAATAAAATACGGAGAATGTATAAAAAAAATTGATATTAAAAAATCGTTAAGACGATTCCAACAATTGCTCACATGACTATATATTTTTTTTATGTATATATCAAATATTGATAAAGTAGATCGTGTGAATAGTGCAAAAAGTTATTAATTATTAGTGAAGAGTTCGGTAGGAAAATAATTTTAATTTAAAGGTGAAAAGCCAAAAGCCAATATCAAAAAGCAAATAAGACTAACTTTTTAGTTTTGGCGGAAAGTCGGCTTTACAACTAGCAAAAAAGCCATTTACCAAATACATTTTTTGGCTGTTTGACCAAGATTAAAAAAAAATAAATAAAAAAGCTCAATATGTTGTTATTGTGGGGTTTATATAAAAAGCGCTGAAATAGATCCTAACTCCCACACTAAGGGCTTGTTTAGTTCACCTTAGTTTTGCTTATCTGATCTGGTATGATCTGGTCTAATTGTCTGATTTGACCAAACTTTGACCTTATGTGTACGTAAAGAAAAGATATATCAAGTAGGGTCTTGTTAGATTCGTAATAATACGTATTTTATTAATTAATATGTACAATTTTCATAATTTTTTCATTATGAAATTAAAGATATTCCGTGATAAAACCACACATAAAATGATGATCTGATATGAACTTATTTTTCCTGATCTGAATTTATTTTTTCTGATCTGATCTGAACATATTTTTTTAGAAATAAGTAAAAATAAGTTGAACTAAATAAGGCCCCAAACTTAGCAGTTAGCACATGCTACATATCACTTAAATGGCAAAATAACTATAGACATAAATCACAATTAGGAAATTTTGAGAAAGTTGACTGAGAGACAATTTGATATGTAAACAAACTATTTTTTTTCACCACTTTATATTGAACTAATTTATATGCTCAATGTATAACTCATACTTTAGAATATATTATTGAATTTAAGAAAACTCCCATATGACATATGAACCCTAATTCTTTATAAGAATAATATTTGATAATTTCATAAAAACATCTATTTTGGTACTAATCGAATACATATACTTGATATTGCTACAAATTATTAGTCCCAATTTCATAAGGTAATCACCATATAACACACCCTAAATGTTGAACACTATTTTATAATTAGCCCCAATTTCGTGAATTATGTAAATAATATTGCTTTTTGTCGTTGCTCGCTGTTGGTTGTTTCTCTTGACTTGTCTGATAGCTGTTTGCACTATATTGGCTTTTTTGTGTTGGTTATTTGACTGTTAGCTCTTAATAAATACGTAGTATATTTGGTAAAGTTGACTATTAGTTGCTGGCGTTTTATTTTATATAAAATAATATTTAAGGGTACTTGTATATTTTATTATCTTTTTAATATTCCTAACTATAATAATAATAATAATAATAATCCACTTTCTCCTTCCTCGTCTTTTTGAATCCACTTTCTCCTTCCTCGTCTTTTTGAATCCACTTTCTCCTTCCTCGTCTTTTTGAATCCACTTTCTCCTTCCTCGTCTTTTTGAATCCACTTTCTCCTTCCTCGTCTTTGTGAAGCGACCCAGATTTCTTTTGATGTGGCCCTTCGAGGTTCTTTGGAGCGCATTGTAACTGCTTCGGGGTCAGGTTTTGGTGATTGGCAATGGCGACTTGCCACCTTACCTTTTTCTTATGGAGGGTTGGGTGTCTATTCAGCGGGTGATGTTCGACACTATGCTTTTCTTGCGTCGCGTTTGCAGTCTTCTGGTCTTCAGGCTTCGCTTCTTCGCAATTCTGGTATTGTTGGTATAGGTCCGGCCTTCGACGACGCTCTTCGTCTTTTTAATAGGACTGTGGAGACTGACCTTTTGCGTAACCCTAGTGAGATTGCTGCCCCCAAACTCATGAAGAAATTGGCAATTATATATTTCACGAAGGTCACTGCATCTGCAGAATCCACTTTCTCCTTATCTCCGCGTCAGGTTGCCTTATGGAAGTCCCAACAGGAGGATCACACTTCTGCCTGGTTGCGAGCCGTCCCTATATCCGGTCTGGGTCAGACTATGAATGGCAGGACTTACCATTGTGTTCTTTGCTACCGGTTGGGTGTTCCCTTGTTCTCCGTATCGGCTCCTTGTTATGCTTGCTCAAGGGTTTTTGATGGGGATATTTTTGGGGATCATGCAGTGTCTTGTGCTGGGATGGTGGGTGTTAAACATCAGTACAACGTTGTTCGTGATACCCTTGTTGATGTTTGTTTCCGTTCTGGGATTTCTGCACGAAAGGAGGTCAACGTTGGGTTGTCTGGAGGGGACGACGGGGCTCTTCGGCCAGCAGATGTGTTGCTTTACTCTTGGGATAGAGGCCTAGATGTTTGTGTTGACTTGAGGAGGTCTTCTCCATTGACACAATCTGGGTTGTCTGACTTCGTTCCTGGTCGTGTCGTGTCGGCTGCGGCTTAGCGAAAGCGGGACAAGTATGGGGCGTGTTGTGGGGCTATTGGCCATGGTTTTCTTCCTTTCTCCTTTTCTTCATTGGGGAATTAGAGAAGGATGTTGTTGCATTGCTGAAGCGGGTTCAGGCGTTTGCTAGGACTCAGGATATTTGTGCTCGTGTGGTGGCTCACATCTTCAACATGATTGGGTTCGCTATAGCTAGAGGGGTGGGGGCCCAGATTGTATCTCGGCTCCCCACTAATTTCTTGTAAATTGTTTGACTTTGTAGGTTTTTGATTATGATAATAATAATAATAATAATGATAATGATAAAAAATATAATAACAACAACAACAACTAATAATAATAATAATAATAATAATAATAATAATAATAATAATAATAATAATATTATAATAATAATAATAATAATAATGATGATGATGATAATAATAATAATAATAATAATAATAATAATAATAATAATAATAATAATAATAATAATAGTTGTTATTATTATTGGTGCTATTTTATAATTATTATTACAATTTTATTACTATAAATAATATAATATGACAACATTAATAATTATATCAATGTTATGGCATACGACTTAGAAAAGAGTTATGATATTGTTGAGGTAAATATTGTTCTTTACCAACAAGTCCAATACTCTATATTGTTCTAGATTATTAAGGGATTGTCCCTATTGCTAATGGTTACAAATTGATAACCTTGCTAGCGTTACGCATCGAAACAGTAAAGAAGTTTAGAAAAGTTAGGTTGCTAAACAAATTAACATATGACTAATAGAATAACTAAAAAATCATAGTGATAATTTGGTAATTGGTAGTTTTCACTAATAAAGGTTGAGGTGTTAATCGATACAAATATGCTGTTACTGTAAAGTTTATATAGACAGAGCTGAAATAGGTCACACATTTATTGTCAATCACTTAAACGGTGGAAATAATAGAATAACTAAAAAAAACATATTGATAATTTTGTAAGTGGGAGTTTTCAATAATAAAAGTTAAGGTTTCACTAGATACTAATATGTTGTTACTATGAGGTTTCTATAAAAAGCGTTGAAACAAATCCCAACTCCCACACTAAAACTTAGCAGTTTGCACATGCTACATATCACTTGAGTGTCAAAATAACTATAGAAATAAATCACAATAAGGAAATTCCTAGAAAGTTGACAGAGTGACAATATAATATATGACGCCAGATTTAACCAATAAAAGTTTAGGTTTTAATAGAGACTAACTTAAAAATTTATTTGGCATAGAACTAATTAAACCGATTACGATTTTAAAGGTACTCATAATATCTAAATACTACCTCTATTTTATATTAATTTGTAATTATTAGACATTTTCTACTCACATTTTATGTCAAATCGTTGCAAATAATATAAAACGAAAGTAATAACTTAAATCAAATCTCGTTTATATCATTCGAGTTTCATGTGTAATTGATTTTTAACTTTATGGTTAAATTGTTTCGGGCTTTCGGTTCTATTTGTCTTACTTGGACTAACCCCTTCTGCTATGCAACTCCCAACGTCTGCCTCTTTGAATAAAAAGACGTAAGCGTATGCGGTCCCTACCATCTGACAAATCACACAAAATATAACCGTTAGGTACAATCCAGTAATTCCCCCAATATCCAAGGGGTAATATCGTCATTCCACCCTCCTCTCCCCCCAGAATCCAGGGTTCGAAACCCAATACCATTGTCACCCTAAACAATGACAATTTTAATTTCCACTCAAGTTACTATTTTACCTCTTAACACTCCAACACCAAATAGCAATGTTAAGGGCAAAATTAAAAATTCACAAAATTCCAAAAATTAAATTAATTTCGAAATTTCTAAAATTCGGAAATTGTCTCTCTTATTAAATGTAAATTCAAAATTTGGACTCTACTACCCTTTTTTCTTGCAATTTTCTCTCTCTTCTTTCTCAGTGTTTTCTCTCTCTAAATTTGTGCGCAAAAACCCAGGAAAATGGATGAAGAAATGGAAATGGAGGAGGAGATAATTCAAGTTTATGATGTTTTTGAGATTGATTTTGATTACGAGTTTGATGCAACTCGGTTCTTTGATTTCACTCGTCCTGAGTCGGAAGCTGAGTCCAGATTTTCCGAGTCGTGGTTTTCTAGAGCTCCTGATTATCCTCCTTCTCGTAAGTTGTTGGTTAAACCCTAATTTTGATTTATGTTTTTCGTTTTGAAATGGGGTTTTCTTGGATTTTTGAAAGATGGTGCATTTGTGTTTGTGTTTGGGTTTATGAAATGTGTGAATTGGGAAATGGTGGTGGAAAATTTGAATATCTTGTTATGTAATTTAATGGTTTAGGATGGAAATTAGTGATTGTTGTTGTTAATTTGGTATGTTTTGATTTCTTAATTTGAAATGTTACTGCTTGAATTTATGAACAAAATTACATATTTGTAGTGTAGTTCTTTATTGTCTCGTTGCTAGTTTAAATTAAATTACATTATCATTGTGACAACTAATTCTGGACGGAGAATTATTTCGGGGGGAGGGGGGAGAAATTACTGGATTGGGGAGGTCAAATGTAGGTAGAGAGAGAGAGTTGTTTGATATGTGTTGTGTTGAAAAGATTATTGGTAGAAAATGCAATGTGAATTAAATAATATTTAGGGTTTTGATTATTGTGATTGAGAAATGAAAGGTATGATGTCCATCACAAAGTGTTAACGAATCCAAGCCTTAATTTTTAGGGTTCTTTAAGCTGATTTTGTTTTTGAAATTGTATGAGCAAATGGGAAAGTATTTGGCAAGTTTTAGGTAAGACATGGATTGCATTGTGAATTGGTGACTTCTAACTGCAGCCTGCTTGAAGATTTACTGAATTATGGAATAGTTATTTGTAGTATTTGGACTTTTGACCTCACTTGCAATGTTTCTGATTTAGAAATGCTCGATTTGGGATTATTATTTTCCTTGCTTTGAAAATGCTGTACATGTAAATGACATCGAACAATGACATGTCCTTTACGTGGCTACGTAATGTTGTTATCAGAAATTTAATTATTGTTTACCCCTTAAGCTAAACCTTTGATTTTTCTTTTGTGAAGTTGACATGCTCTGTTTTTGACTCATCATGGCAGCTTTTGTTGCTCAACTATTTCCGTTAAATGGTTTGAGATCGCCTAATGTGGATGTGTCCCCCAAGTCTAAGTATAATGACAGATTGTCTAATGATGACGGTAATGCTAGTATTGATCAGCATGCAGAATATTGCGATCAAGATGAGGCATGCAGAGGTATTACTTGAGGTTTTTGTTTATTTGTTCATTCTTCTTATAAAAGTGTAGAGCTCTTGTAATTCTTGTATGCGATCTAAGTCTTCATTTCTGAGATCATTTTTGAAGAATTTTGAGCATATGTAGCATGTCATTGTAGACACTTATGCATATTTTTGCTTGTTACACCACATACACAAAAGACAGGGAAACAGAATGACATTTATTGTAGTAAATACAGTTTAATTGTCATATTGCTTTTGTATATTTTCTGGAGTTGCTCATTAAGGCTGTATGCTTAAAATCATGTCAGAGGTGGTTTTTTGGGAATGTTGTGGACATTATTAATTTTGATTGAATTCTAATGGACTTCATAAGTTAGTTAATACGCTAGTCTGATCTTACTTATTTCTTCTCTCTCTCTTGTTGCAGAAGACAGTAGCCAAGCTTTGCTGAGAAAATTATACGACGGCAATTTCCTAAATTCCCAAAATCAAGCCAAGTGTTCACATGGAGGTCTAACTTTTATTCTTTGGCGGTTATTCTTCCTTTTAATTGTATGCTGTGAGAAAGAAGACGAATTCTTACTTGGTTAAAGGAGGCTGAATTTTTTTATTTATGATTGTGAAAGTTCAATATTAATTGTTAGCGATAAATATGTTTTTACAAAAAAATTGCCGAAGCATGGAAGATGGGCAACCTGTTTTTATTTATTTATATTTTAATTGTTATTTTATTATCTTTTATGAATACATGGTAATTTACTTGTGTAAACATGCATCATTTATTCGAGCTTAGTGAGTTTCCTAGGTTAATACTTTGCTTCTTAAATATTGCTACTTTTTTTTATACCAGGTCCTAGAGGATTGACTTTCTTCAATCATTTGGCCCATGATAATGTGAAAACAAAGCCTAAATCCCTTGCTAAGCCATATATGCGAAAGACTTCAACACTAATGAAGCCTACTGCGAGTCAGCTGTCAAAGCAAAATCAGCAACATCAAGTTTGTGGTTCTTCTAGGTGAATTTTGAAAGATAATTTTCAGTTTGGCATTTCCTTGTGATCTTATCCTTCTTTGTTATGAGTGAGTTGGGGATGGAGTAGAGGATGAACATTTTCCATGTTTGATTCTTGGAAGATATTCTGCTTTTTGATTGAAAAATTTATGCTGCCAGATTGCAGAAAAACGAAGGCAATTCAGGAACTCATTCTGGGATGGAAAGTCAAGCTTCAAAGAGGCAAAAGCTAGATGGTGGTCATTTATGTAGGGTGTGTACACTCTCCTTTTTGGTTGGCCTTTTTGTAGAGAACTATCTCTGTGATCTAAAGTAGCCATTTACTTCATTTTATGCATCTTAGATGTAAATATGAATGTGCAGCTCTACTTGTTTAAGAGAATTGTTATTTTGACATAATTTTGGTCTGCTAATTTTCTAGATAATGTTCGCAGTTAAGCTGGTTAAAAAAAAAAAAAAAATCAGATCATCTCATGCGACTTTTAAATGCTTTCAGTCTCATTTGTACGATCTTAATCATTGATTCAGCTGCAGTGGTTTTTATATTTTCATTGTTAGCTTAAATTTATGATATCATATCTATTAGAAGGAAGTCTAGTTTGATCCCTGTAATTTATAATTGATATGTTTTGTTAAATGTGTCTATTTATCCTGTGCTTTATAATTGATATGTTTTGTTATATGTATACTTCGATCATTTACTATTTCATTTTCGTGTGACAGATTGTCGAAATGAAGCAGCCTGTCAATCTAACCCACAAGTTGCCCAAAAAGGTATCCACACTTCAACAGGATTTGATGGATTTCTCTGCCTGCTTTCTCCATTGCATAACCGATTTTTGGTCAATAGTTAATTGTTCACAACAACATTATTCTGCGTATTTGGTGTGTGAAAAAACGGGTACTATAATTATTGGAGGTGTTCTTACCCTACTCTTGATGATATATACAGGATAAGGAGAGCACAAAGAGTATATATAATTTCCAAAATATTTGTTTTACTTTGCATTTTGGTTCTTGATCATTGGAATTTTAGCAAACCCTATAATAGCGATTACCTTTTGCTTGAAGCTGGTCTAGAGAGCTTGGTTTTTTCTGCATTTGTTTGGCATTTGTAAAATATAGGTGGTTGTTTTGATTGAGATAGATTTGTGGGAACATTGGGAAGTTGAAATTTCTGATGTTTTGGCTGATTAAAACATGGAAGTTTAATCTCAAGAAGTCCTACTTCCCATCTAGTGGAGGCAGTTGCTTACTTAGTTTCCCATGGGCCCCTAGAATAGCTCGTATTCAACCAAGCAATCTGGGAATACAGTTTTTTTTGCAATGTTATGCCGAAATAATATTGTTGATGGTCTCCATGATGCTTAAAGTGCATTACCTAATTTCTTCTGATAAACTTTGATTTATCCATTTAGGATGCTGCTGCGCAAGGCTTGAATTCACAAGCTAAGCTAAGGATTACAATTCCAAGGGAGCCAGACCTTGCTACCGCGCATAGGGCAGAAAGGATAAGGTTTAATTATAATTTTTTTAATTATATTTGTATCATAACTGGCTTCCAATCTTTTGTCCTATGGTTAAAAGGACTAATTATCCAACTTCAAGCTCAAAATACGTGTTATTAGTTGTAGGATTTATGAAATTTTGGCATATGGTTTACTTATTCTTCATTTATTTACAGGTTAACTAGCACTAAAGAAACGGAAAATCCCACAGCAACTACTTACAGATTTAAAGCAAGAACGTTGAATCGAAAGGTAAATCTTCGTGCATTCAGAAGAAACTTTCAGTTATATTTCTTAGATATTTATTCAAGTGCTTTTTGGTGTAATGTGCAGACCCTTGAAGCTCCTGTTCTCCCATTCTCAAAGAGAACTACGCAGCATTTGCCAGATATTAAAGTGAGGCATCAATGCCTTAGCCTTGTTTACCTTTCCCTAGTCCAAAAATACATGTCTGATGATATTGATGTTGCTCTCAAACATCTTGGCTAACTTTTATTGTATTGCTTCATAGGCCTCTCACCTTAAACCAACTGGACGGACAAACCCAAGTACCTCCACTGATGCTTCACCATCAGTTTGCCGAAATGATAAGGTTAAGTGTTCTGCTTTATGAATTTATTTGTCTAATTGTCTCTACAACCATATCTTTGTCTCTTTTGAATTTTGCTTGTAAGTCCATCTTAATATAGCATTTATACTGCTTTCAAGCGCCCGTAATATGGTACCATAAATGCTTCATTATGAATTCTCACCAAGCTTACTTCCACATCTCTACACTAGGCCTTGCTAGTTAGCTTTAATTTTATTTAGACTTGTTTTCCATGACTTCTAATAAGCATTCTCTCTTTTAACTATTCCTTTTAAGAGTACCTCCACAATCTACTTTAGTATAGCTTTAATTTTATTTAGACTTGTTTTCCATGACTTCTAACAAGCATTCTCCTTTTAACTATTCCTTTTAAGAGTACCTCCACAATCTACTTTGACTCCGGAAATTAATCTTTGAACTGTTCTGCACGCACTACTTGATACCCATTCTTATTTCCTGCCCTCTTTGTGTGTCTCAGTATTTATGTAGTAGCATGGCCTTTTACCATGTGGGATACTTAATTTGGCTGTGTGTTGAAATATGACTGGAATTCTGCAAGTTTTTTATTGTTTGAAACATCAGACAAATGACATGGGTGCATGACGTGCGTAAAATTCTGATGTGTATTAAGGACCATAGACCAAACATTTATTTCAAACGGGTTTATCAGATTTGGTATGAGAAAATGGATGACTACCATGATTAAAATTCTATGAGTGGCTGAAACTAGATTCGGGGAGAGACTACAATGATCACAACATGGCTGAAATTCTGCCAAATGTGGTTATGAGGGGAGGGGGTTTGTAATTGTAAGCAAGCTTACCTTTCCTTTAACCTGTCTAGTAGTGAGAGTTACCCTGAACAATTATTGTGTTTGAGTGTGGTAGTGTTGGTTTTTCTTTAAGCTCCTCCTTATTAATTGTATAAAATAAAGTCTTGGGCCTCTTGTATCAATTGTATACAAAAGTCTTGTTTCTTGAGAACCTTTTTTTTTATTTTTATTTTTTATTTTTTATTATTTTTTTAATTGCTGTAGAGCCTACCTGTAATTTAAAATCATATTTTCACAACCCCTAACCATTTTTGGACTAAGGTTTTGTTATTGTTGTAACCTGCCAATTAACCCCACCGGACATGCCTTGAGATGAGCAAATACAAGCCAGTATGAGGAAGGACCTTGTGCCTTCATGGCTGTCCCTTTATCTATACCTGTGTCCTGATGGTTTATTCTTGGTGACTAATTGTCTCTGTGAATGCAGGTTTTGAACAAAGTTCATGCTGATAGCGGTATAGAAACTGGTAATAAGGATGGAAAAGGGTATGTAATACCATCTGTATCTTATACTTCGTTTTTCACTTGTTTTTGGGTTGGTGCGGGTCAATTTGTACATTGATGCGTCTTTATATCTTTCTGTCACATTGTTTACTGATCTACGAACGTTGGTAACAGTCTCAAAGTTACCTTTGCCTACAACAGAAGTTCATTATTTACAATAATTTTGGAACTCAATCTTGCTACCTTTCCAGATTATTCCTTTTGTAACTCTGTTTTGCATGGCATTTTTATTATGTACAAAATGAATGATTCTTATATTGATAATAAATGGTAGTAGATTTTTTCAAAGTAATACATGTACATGATCATTGCTGTAAATATCTGTAGTACGTAGGAGCTTCATGTTGATTATTTATGAAATGATCATCAGATATCGTGCATAATCTGCATATAATTAGCTTTTTTTTTTTTTTTTTTTGGTTATGGCCTTATGGGTGAACTGATTATTCCATCCTATGTATCGAGCATGCAATACAATTCTGTGCTAGATGGTGGCTTACATTGGGTTGATATTGCTTTTTGTGCAGTAGTGATTCTGTGGATATTCCGAGAGTGGCTGTACGCCAAGTTGTACATAGCTTTAAAGCACGACCTCTTGATAGGAAGGTAATGAATACTTGTCATCAAAATACATTGTTTTTATTTATTTATTTATTTTTATTACTGTGATCATGGATGCAGCTAGCTTCATAATTTTTACATACACTAGCTCCATCAATAATCCAACTCTTCCCTTATTTGAAACGAAGTTGAATTGGTTTACATGGTCTGGATGCAGATATTGGCTAGTAGAGGAGACATAGGTGTTTTCAGAAATAATAAGCGGGATGTTACTGTACCAAAGGTAGTTTGTCATGCTCATGATCTTGATTGGTGCTTATATGTATTGCTTTGAAGCAAATTCCTTACAACTCGTTTTTCTCTAGGAATTTATGTTTCAAACATCAAAGAGGACTCAGCCAAATCTTCCAACAGAGCTTTTTAGCAAGGTATTTTTGCTTTCTGGTCTTTTGGTGGATATATGCAGTTGCCATAATAGTGCCTCCTCTAGAATAATATAATCGATCTATATCTCATAATGCCTTCTTGTACAATTTGCAGCTCTCGCTTGCTGGTGAACCCCATTCAAAAAATTGTGCACAGGTTGAATTACCCCAGAACACTACTATTTCGGCGAAGGTTCCTTCTTATACAATAATTTGAGGCATTTTCTTTCCCTTATCCTGGAACCTTGCTGACTTCTCACTTCTTGCTTCAAGGAATCAAAAGAAAATAGATGGGAATCTTGTCATCTGAATAAGCAAAATGTAAGAAAGATTTTCTTATGTTGCAAAGTAGCTTTTTGACCGATTGTTTTTATAATCAGCTGTCTTTTGCTTGTCTAGATTAGTTTTGAAAATACTTGCATACATCTTGATCTCTAGATTTCCATATATTTGTGATCGGATTGTCTGCATCTCATAAACTGCTCTACACAGACAATACATCTGGCAAAAGAAAAATTAGACGCTCGTAATGGAAAGGAGCAATTGACAGTTGCTAATGGAAGGATCGGTGAAATTAATCCTCGTAGTGGCATGAGCAGGTGCATTTTTCATCTTGAATTAGGTGTAGCTCTTTGCTGTTAAATTGTACAAGTATTTGATAATTGTATGTCATGTTTACTGCAGGCCTTTAGGGAGCCGGAGACAGCAATAGCACATATATTTCATCTTAGACTAGTCCCATAATCCAAGATGTATAGATGCCTTTTGATGAAGTTTTACACTAGGGCTGAGGAATCGGTGCACAACACATGCAGGAAATGGTTTAGCTTTTTAAGCTCCTACAGGATAAATTTAACTAAGCTTTGTATAGAAATTGTGCACCACCTTTTAAATTCAAACTTCTTGTGCCCCCATTTTCGCCTGCAGCCATAGATTAATCCAATACTATCTTCATCAGGAGGTGATACAGGAATGTAATTCAACAAAAGGAACACAATTATTCTCATGAAGGAAATTTTATGCCCAAGAATTTTATGTCGACGGTTTTCTATTTAGATTGCACTGCAATGTGTTGAGGTTCTGCAAATATGTAAAATGCTTATAGCCGCGGCATTAGGATGGATTTATAACAGGGATATAACTTATAGCATTCATGAGTCATGACACAATAATGGTAAAGAATCAGCCTCTATTATGGCCGAGTGTTGGATTCATGCTATTGGTACATACATACATATTACATACAGAGTAACAATTAACGTCAAAGTATCAAATCTGGTGCTAAGCTTTCATTTGTTGCTGGTCTTGCTTATGAGTTGTTTTTAGTCATAGCCGAAACAAGGGAAAGGGGAGACTGTTTTGTCCATCGCCTTATACCATTTGCTTTTTTAGGCTTCTTGTTATGTTCCTTCCCTTGCTTCCTCTTTGCTATGGCAATGGCAAGATCATTTGGGAACAAAGTTTGCCAGACAAAGCCATGTAAAATGGTTGAGACGAATAGTATAGCCACCATTGTACTAGACATAAATGGCAGGGATAGAGCTAGGCCCTTGCTTCCTATCGAGGGTGCCTGCTCTGCATACTTGATAGTAGCGATTGATGCAGTGGTCATCGGGAAAGTATATGACCACCATGACATTGAAAACCTGGGCAAGGAAAAGTTAAATTTACAAGCTATTTAGATACATCTAGCTGATCACATAAGCAAGGCATTGGCCAAATAGAGAAGATATATGCTTCTAAATATATTCTGTACATACTAGTAAAACTTTTAATAGGTTACCTGAAGCCAGTGAAGAAGGTGGGTCGAACGACAAGTGAGATATAAAGAAACAAGGCAATGAAGAAGCAAGTCCTTGATAAGCCATCAAACTCACCATAAATAGCCTCCCATGCAATGCTTGCTGCAGCCGGTGTTGCAATGAACATACAGTATACAGGGTGTAGCTCCTTGGGCAATGTTTCACTCGTAGGCAATCTCTGATAAAGAGTAACAAAGACTACAAGGTAATGCGCGAAACCCACTGCCCACAGAAACTTTGCGGGTCCTTTCCACCCTACCCTGGCTCCTAAAATGGCACCAACAAAGTTGCCAATAACTGATAAATGAGAAGACGGGTTAGCTACCATGCTTAAACGCCGTCTTCCTCCAGAAAGCCATTGACCATAAATCTTAAGCTCGAGGATGAACGTTGGTATGGCAAAAACACAAAAAACAGCGGGATGAAGGGTGTTTGGTGCTATTCTTGGGGGAACTCCTATGGCCATAAACATAGCTACAATCCATGGAGCAAAGAAGAAGTTAACTCTAACAGGATGGAAGTACTCTCTTTTGATTGCTTCAAAGTAGAATATACATTTAAGAAGATAAGTGGTACACACCAATACTAAAATGAGCAGGGCTAGGATCCAGAGTACTAGGTTTATAAAAGGGGTTACTTTGAGGAACTTCATCGCCGGGCTGATTGATAGCGACTTCCATAAGATGGATTGGCTGCTAAGGCCAAGACTGATAGAACAATGTATACTACAAGAGGGGGGTGAATTGTAGTGTATGTAGACTATGGTAAATTTTGCGGAATTAAATCTACTACTAAGAGAAAAGTCACTGAGATAGGCAATGAATAAATTCACTATGTAAAAATGATTTACAATCACTAATACGTTGCCTAGACTCAAGTTCCGTGAGGAACTCAAGTTACCCAACTGTGATCCCTCAATCACAGTTTCTCACACTTTGTGATTCTACTCCGAATCACTTGTACAGTGTAAACAACTCTCTCAAGTCTCACACTTTACAACTCTCACAACCCAAACCCAATTACACAATGATTACAAGTATTTCCTAAAGAACTTAAGAGACTAAGGATGGAAGGAACTTCTCTTTTAAATACTTTGAAACTCTATGCTCAGAATACTTAAGATTGTTTTTCCACACTTTCAAAACTTAACGTTGATCTGTTTTTATAAGAAGTTAAACCAAGCTTCCATCAAGTTCCCACTTCCCCCTTAATCCCACGTTCTCTTTGGCTGAGAAGTTGGGATGTAGGCAGAGGAAATTTAGGAACATGATTTCCTTAGCTTGACTCCCAAGTTCAACGTTCTCCTTAATACTAGGAGCCAGTATTTACTAAGTCAAAAAAATCAGTTATTCAAAAAGATAATTATTTAATAAAAAAGATCATTATTTATTTATTAATTAAAAGATAAATAATTAATTAATTTAAAACTTATCTTTTTAAATTAATGAATTATTTATTTATTCATAAAATCTTTTTAAATCTTTTTCAAAACTGATTTTTATCACTTCCTTAAATTAAGGGATATGAAAACTGTTTTAAAACTTTCGTTTAAAACTTTCTGAGTCAATCGTCAAGTTCCTTCGGGAACTACAGGTTCCTTCAGGAACTTCGAGTTTCTTCTTAATTCCTTCCATTCCTTCCAACACTTTTGTTTCTTAAGCTCGTACACTGAGTAACTAAGTATATAGAGTTATGAGGACATCTTGAAAGCTTGCATTCATCATCAAGTCTTCCAAACTCTGTTGTTCCTACTCCGGAACATGTATTTGTGTACCTGAATCTTTCTGTTCAACCAAGACTCATAAACATCATTAGTCAGAGTTTGTTTTATGTAAGTCAATCATCAAAATATTAAGGTAGTCAATTCAACAAAGACATATACCAAAACAACCTATTGGGAATCGGAGCAGAAATGGCCATGTTTCATCCCTGGGTAAAAGAATGTCATCATAGTCCTGAAAAACAAGTACAATTCAGGTATCTACATAGAGAAAATTCATCATTGGATTGAAAGAACAAACATTCCATTTGGTAGGTAGTACTGAGTAATGGTAATGAGTACACATCAAAGAATTTAAAATCTTAACTATCGGTTTCTTTTGGAATGCCCTACACATATACCGTGCTAAACATACCATCTATGGGACGTATAGGACATACCACCTACACAATATAATCAACTTTAACATGTCTTTTGGAATGCCCTAGACATATACAGTGCTGAACTTACCTTCTATGGGTAGGACATACCGACATACCACCTACACAAACAACTTTAATATCGATATGATAAGAGGGCATCATTATGCAAATTTTATATATTATGGGTACACAATCTTTAAGATCAATGACATACTCTACAAGTTAACAATAATTAAAATATCATACAAAGATTGACAAAATAATGTGTGTAAACAATACCTTCACTTGATCTAGCTCAGGACCTCTGAGAGCAGCAAAGTATCTTCCTGCAGGAACAGAATCATCTGCACCTTGAGAGTGTTGAGACCCATTATTATTTTTATTGTTAATACTATTATTATTATTATTATTATTATTATTATTATTACTATTATTATTGACATTGTTATTATTATTAATATTGTTATTACTAACTTTAATCTTCTGATTATAATCCACCTCATTAGTACATTCCTTTTTCATGGGCATCAAAGAATTCTGCTTAGTAAGAGATGATTTTGTCTTAAACATGCTAAAATCACCCTTTTTAACTTCTCTAACAACAGCACCACTACTTTTTGCACCTAAACCTCCAAGACTTCTTCCACTCCTACTAAGAGCAACTCTCTCATTTTGTTGCGTCCCTTTTAAAACAGAGAATCCTGTTTCAAGAGATACTTGTCTACTTAGGCTACTCCTGTTTCCTGCCCTTCTTGCTGGTTCTTGATGCCTTACCGGCCTCGCCCTCCCTCGTTTCTCCGGTTTCTGAGCCGTTGTTCTATTCAACGTCGTTCCTTCATCTTCTTCTGACAATACTTCTTGTATATCTATCAAATGAGCATTGGAAGGTCTAGGATCAGGTGGAGTTTTGTCCATCTTAATCTCACAAAATTATTGGTTTTTGCTCATAAGTCAAAACCTTAATAAATTACATAAATTTTTTTTTTGGTATGTCCTTAAATTATATGTATGTAGTCTTGCATATATAATATAATTGCTTATTTGATAATGTGACTGTATGCAAAAGTTTGCTCTTTAAGTTGCTTTTTCAATATGGACCAAAATGTTGGTTTCTAAGCGTGAAGAAATTCACGGGAAAAGGTGAATAATTTTTTATTTTTTTTTAAATCAATTGGTATAACATGAATTTTGAACCATTAGTTTTAGTTTTTGGTTTTGGTAGATGAAATTGAAGGGTTTAAAGGATCACCTCGTGAAGCTTGGCGTGTTGAAGATCTATGGTGCCAACTTGAAAAGGGAAAAGGTCTTGATTGCTTAAAGAGGTTGATAGAACTCCATAGAAAAGATTTCACGAGCTGTGAGTTATTTGAAAATTAAAGGTTGACGACAAATGTTTCAAAAACCTAAAAATGGCTCCTTTTGTCGAATCAAAATCCTCTGTCCCATCTTGCTCGTCCTAAAAATAGGTCTGTTGTTAACAAATATAGTAAAGACATAAAGTATAAAAATAAGTTGTTTGATTTTCCTATAAAACAAGAATTTGTGAGTTTTGCATGCAACTAACCTTTATGTGTGATATCTCAGATCTATATTCCTAACATTTTTTCTACACAATAAATACTCCATATAAGAAAACAGTATAACCTATACTTGTAAATTTCATTCTCTGAACATTGTAGCTAGGATTTACCATATTTTGTTTTGTTTTGTTTTATGATGCAAGTAGAAGGCTATGTGGAGCTGACTTTGCACAGCTGCACAGATCCCACCCAACTCGGGTTAGCGGCGAGGCTTCTTAGAAGGGAAATGCTAACGTAATCCTCTTTCCCCAAATAGTCTTTGTACGGGATTTGATCTTACAAACTCGTCATGATTATGATGCAGCTAGAATAGGTTTATCTTTCTTTTATTTGGATAAAAGTTAAATTTACCGATTGAATGACGATCAATATTCTTGCATTTGGTGTTTTCTACTCCTATATTTCCACATACTTGTTTAAATTAAATTTTTATCACAAAATCTAAGGAGCATTTGTACTTTGAAGGATACTCGAAGTCTCGAATGGACTCATGCATATACAACGAGGTTTTTTCAATTTACAATGAAACACTATGAGAGATTAATTAGTGGAGCAAATTGGGGTTTTAATGTGTAAGACCTTGTTCACTTCATCTTACAAAATTAATTTCAGTTCAGTATAAATAATTCCTGTTAAAAAAAAATAAGTTCAGTTCAGTAAAATTCAGTATCTTTAAAGAAGAAATACAATAGAAAATCAGTAAAATAATTTAAATTCAGCAAAAATAATTTAGGTTCAGTAAAATTAATTTCAATTCAGTAAAAGTAATTTAAGTTCACCAAAAATATTTTTTGTTGAGTAAAAATAATTTCAATTCAGCAAAAATAAGGTGAAGTGTACGGGGCCTAACAAAGGGATAATGGATTATGCAGGATTTCTATTTATTTTCAAATTCCTTGTATGGTTGTGTAACGAGGAAAAAGTTTGGTTATATAGGCCTGTTTTATATACCTTATTCAAATAATATTCAATAAAGGTAATTTAAGTTTAGAAAAAAATAAGTTTAGTTCAATAAGAATAAGTTTTAAGTTTAGTAAAAGTAAGTTAAGTTCAACAAAAGTAATTTAATTTCAAAAATAATTCCAATTAAATTAAATTAAAAAAATTTAAGTTCAGTAAACATAAGGTGAAGAGAACACGACCTTAGGGAATTGATCTATTAGAGATAGACTTAATAAATGATGAAATACACTTTAACAAATTTTAAACGATGTTTAAATTCTATTTTAGTGGATTGTTTGCAATTTTTATTGTTTAATTGGTTGTATGTAGTATGTAATGCCGAGGACATAGGAAATGAGGGATGGTTAGTCCCTTTATCTCCCCATAAGTGGTTGGGGGTTCGATCCTCATCCTCCCATTCTTGTGATAGGGTGGGGAACCCCGTATCTTACCATATAATGGTAATTTATTAACTCATTTGAAAGGTCTACAAATAAATAAAATAAGAATTGAAGTAAGCTAAATTTAGTTTTAGTTATACCATACACAATGTACAACAAGTCTATACCATAGTCGAAAGATATCTTAATTGGTTTATCGCCCAAGATTGGCGGGTGTAGGATTTGGTGTGTTGAAATAAATAAAATATCATTTAATTTGTGACCAAATCTATCATTGCAAGCTTAGATTTAGAATAATAATGTAGGTGTGGGAGTCAACTAGTTGTTTGCAACTAGAAGTGATAAATGAGATCTTAAGCTTCGCCACTTGACATGGGTTTCGGATTTTAATTTAGCTGTGTGCAGTAGACTGTGGAGTATACACCACTCACCCAATAATTAAACTAAACTTTACATCTGTTTATCATGCAAAGATTCCTTGTCACACTTGATAGTTGATACACATTATTTCATATACTCAATTTAAATTAGAAAATATTAGTCTTGAATTATTACTAGTTTGAAAAAGAGTCATAAAATTTCATAAGAGAAGTACGTATTTGACTTCAAACTTTTTTAGGTTTATTTATGGATATGGATCTACTATGATAGATAATTTTTACACGAAGAGAGTACCGATATACGACGTATAGTAAGTAAAGTTCGGCTAAACAAAGAATATTTTTTTTATATATATTTAATTGTCATAATATACAGATTATTATACAGAGTATCTAATAGAATGTATAATACAGGACTAAAGTTTAAAGAAAGAAATAATTGCCCAAAAAAAAAAAAAAAAAAAAAAAAAAATTAAAGAAAGAAATAGTTAAAGTAAGATAAGCTAAAAACCGATGAAAGGAATAAGATGTGATCTGTAAATGCGGAAGAGCCTGAACACACCAAAAAAAAAAATGAATTTTCAGCATAATCATGATTCATGACTATTAAAATATGTACAAAAGTCAACCGTACACAATAACACACTACTACAATACTCTACTAGTTTGTTTGTTTGTTTTTTTTTTTTTTTTTTTAATTTTTTTTTAAGATAAGATGAAGGACCCTACTGAACCAACACCTCTCACAAGTTTAGCTAGTCCAGCTCCGTAGGTTTGAGAGTAAAGGGGGAAGATAAAGGAATCCCCCTACTTCCAAGCATTTTGTAGTTAGTGAGGCTTGAACTTGTGACCTCAAAGTCACAAGGTGAGTTCTCCACCAACTCCACCAAGCTACACTGAATTCTCTCACTCTATTTCATGCGAGTACAAAGTATTCGCTACTTTATAATTTTTGGGTCTATAGAGAAGTGCACCTTGTTCATAATTTACTACCTTACAAATATTACTTTTTTGATGTAACTAATAAGAAACAGATGTAATGTTTTATATCCCACTATCCCAGTGTACCTACTACCTAGTGGTACGTAGTAAGTGGCTAAATGCACTAAGAGGTCCTTTTTTTTTTCATTTGATAAATAAAGCGCAATCCAAAAGAAAGAAAATTGGTTAAATGTGTCAATTATTAACTTATTATAAATTTAAGCAAACATTAAGAGGTATTTTTAAAAGATAAGTTGTATATGTATTGAGTAATGATATACTCGGGTATATGATTGTCTTTATACAAGGCGAGGTCGGGCCTTAGCATTAAATCTCATGTCCAAACCTGTAAAAAAAGTAATGGGCTTGTCAGGCTAAAGCGGATTTTTTCAAGCTAGATTCTGGTTTTTAACTAAAATGTGTTATCTGGCTTGCCTAAACCAACACTTTTTTTAGGCCGGGCCAAGTCGGGCTAATGGGCAAGGCCATAGACCCATAGTTAATCACACCTCTAATTAAGAGTAGTTTTTCACCACTTAGTAATTTTTTTTAATTAGGAGTAATATAAGAGAATTAGATGAGTAGTGCAAAAAGTCAAAACGTACGAAGGGAGTTTAGTTCTAAATGTACAACCATTTGTTTGAAGATACAAAGTTACATTTCCAAAGAAATGACAAATGTCATAAGAATCCAATTCTTGGAAACATAGTAGAATAAGAATAACCCATTTGGTTGACTTCAAGACTACCAATTAAATGATCTATAGTGAATATGTAGAAAGAAAAAAAATTACAAATAATTCTTCAAAATTTTAAACTTATTTCAACCAACCAAACCATTAGGCATGAGAAGAGTCTCCAAATTTCCCTTCCCAAAATCAGCTTATACCAAAGTCTTGTATATATACACAAATAAAACTAAAAAAGATTCACACTACATACATTTTGACAAGAGCAAATTTCTACTACTACTACAAAGCAGTGAGAGACTGAGAGAGCTGAGAGACAAAGACAGAACACAAATTCAATATCTTAGATCAGATCAAGTGTATGTCAAATAAATAATCATCATCTCTTTATTTTTATTCTTCTTAAAATAAAAATAAATAAAATAATAATTAGAAAGCCACCTTCATCTACAAGCCTACTTCACCGACAATCAATCCCCCACAAAATACCAACAAATTTTATCCCCAATCCAATCACTCCTCTCCACCCCACTTTATCCCTCCCCTCATACCCTCATTCCATCTCCCTACAATCTGATCGCCACCACAAATGGTGGTCGAACCTCCCACAAAATGGACACCCCGGCGCAACAGCAACCCAAAACTCGACACCTCCCCGGACCAAATCCTCCTCGAAATGCCCCAAACGCCACCATCCGACGCTCGTAACAACATCCACCACATCGCCGCCGTGTCCGCCACCACATCAATCACAACCCTGACAATAGTCCTCGCTTGGTACTCCTCCAACATCGGCGTCCTCCTCTTAAACAAATACCTCTTAACCATTTACGGTTACCGTTACCCTATCTTCCTGACCACGATCCACATGATTGCATGCACCTTCTACTCCTCCTTCGCCATCCACTCCCTCCGCCTCGTCCCCGCTCAGTACATCCAGTCTCGCAAACAACTCCTTAAAATCTTCTCCCTGTCCGTCATCTTCTGCTTCTCAGTAGTATGCGGTAATGCGTCACTCAAGTACATACCCGTATCCTTCAATCAGGCTATTGGCGCAACCACCCCTTTCTTCACAGCCATCTTCGCATTCGTAATCACTTGCAAGAAAGAAGCACCAATAGTATACTTCTCCCTCCTCCCTGTCGTACTCGGCATTGTCGTTGCTTCCAATAGCGAACCCCTATTTCACCTCTTCGGATTCTTCCTCTGCGTGGGGTCCACTTCTGGGCGAGCCCTGAAGTCTGTAGTACAAGGATTACTTCTCACATCGGATTCCGAGAAACTCAACTCAATGAACTTGTTAATGTATATGGCCCCTATGGCTGCTGCTGTTCTGCTTCCGTTTTCGCTTTACATCGAAGGGAATGTAGCTGGGATAACAATCCAGAAGGCGAAACAAGATTGGTTCATTGTTTTTCTGTTAGTTGGGAATGCTACTGTGGCGTATCTAGTAAACCTCACTAACTTCCTGGTCACAAAACATACGAGTGCGCTCACGTTGCAGGTGTTGGGGAATGCGAAAGCGGCGGTTGCGGCGGTGGTGTCGGTCTTCATATTTAGGAATCCGGTCACGGCGATGGGAATGGTTGGATTTGGGGTTACTGTCATGGGTGTTGTGCTTTACACCCAAGTTAAAAGGAGATCTAAACTTACAGCTCATTGAATTGTTTTTTTTTTTTTTGGGTAAATAATAAAGATACCAAAGACAATAACAAAAAAAATAGAAAAAAGAGGAAGAATTATTCTTTGTGTTTTTAGGAGTATTTTTTTTTAAAGGGAGAAAAATTAACTCCATTTACCATCATAGTGTTATTATTATTATTACTCTCCATACTTCAAAGTTGATTAAATTTGTTTTTGTTAAATTATTATATTATATTTGTGATTTTTTTTATTTGATAGGGATATTGTTGTTATTCCAAAGGGAGAAACAACTTGTGATGAGCATTAATAGAAAGGAAAAGGAGATTCCATTTTTTTTTTGCTAGTACTTGTATTTTGTATAAGGACCAATAAAAAAAAAGTTAGCCAAAAAGAAGAATGGCATTAATGTCTTCTTCCTTTTTTCTTTAATTTTTGTTCAATATATATGTTGTTTTTAGCTTGTTGTTTCCATTTCTTTGTTGCTTCATTATTCAAGATTTATTTTCGGTTGTTGAATGATTAGAGAACAAGAGCACAATCTAAAACTATGGAAATTGCATAAACCTATATCATGTATAGATTATTAGAGAATTAATTAGTTGTTGAATGGAAATTATTCTAATTAAAATTGTGTGTTAGGTTGTACTTTTATAATTTTAAATCTAAAAACACCAAAACTTCATATGTTTAATTTGCTTGTAAAGGAGTAAACTTTTTTTTTTTTTTTTTTTTTTTTTTTTTTTTTTGTATTTTCGCTTTTCTAGTAAATGACTTAAATCAAAGTAATTTTTCAGGAAAAATGAGAAACATATCCTTAGAGAAAGTTAGTTGATAGCATTTTCTTTTCAATCACTTACAATCCTCATTTCTCTTAACTAGTGTGACACACCACAAACAAGAACAACTAATACAGTAAAGTAAAAGAAAATTTATAAACTAAGATCATACATTTTCACTAAAAGTGAATTTGAATTTGATTATTAAAAAAAAGAAACAATTAACCATTTAAACTTTAATCACACTATTTAGTAATCTTCCAAAAAGGTCCATGTTAATATTATCCATACTATTATCCAATAAGTTTATTCTCCTACAAGGTTTATTTATCAAAAAATAAAAATAATAATTTTTTTAAAAAAAAGGGTTAACTCATTATGAGCCTACCAAACAAAGGGAAAATAAAGTATGGAATAGTTGAGTGGATGAGATTGGTAGCATTTAATAGGGCCATTTGGGACCTACACCTACTATCAAGTGGCGGCCGTCTTAGTGTTAATCTAGCAGCTTAGTTGTCATTGTATTGACAGAGCAGAGTGATAGAAGATCAATGGACAATTAGTTGGCAATTTCACAATTTAATTACCCTTTTTTTGTTGTTATTTTAATTAAATTACTAGAAAGTGTAATATTTTCATATTGGTTTCATGTTTGTATAGATAGAATAAGAAACATCCAAACTTGTAGCATAGTGTATTCAGCATAAGTAATAGTGGCATCTTTTTATGGTAAAAAGCCAATGTTTGTGTTCAATTTGTCGGCAAGCAAAAGACTAGGTAATGGCCGGATATATAAATTATTGTGCATGAATTAGAATTGACGTTAACGCCATGGGACAATTCGTATTTAATGTAGTATGGTATAGCACTACATGATTGCAAATTTGTCACGCCTCGTTCTTTATAGTTCATACCTATATTCAATTACGAAAATTAAATAATTTTTAAGATAGTATTTAAACTTTGTTTTTTCGTTTATATGTATGTAGGATTGTGGGGTTTTGAATCTGAATTTTGTTATTAACACATTATTAGATGCATTACTAATCTGAATGTTGAATGTGAAAAGTTAACATTTAATTGATTTGAAAATCTTATTATATAAATATTACAATGGTAAGATAGTACACCCTATAGTTTCATTGATTTTAACTATAGATGCCATGGTTATATGCTGAAAGAGTGGAATCGTACTTTTCTGGTCTTGCTTCCCAAAGTAGAATGTCCTGAGGCAGTGTCTCAATTTCGCCCCATTGGCCTTTGTAATGTCCAGTATAAGTGCATAGCTAAGTGTCTTATCAGTCGTCTTCGTTTGGTGCTTCCCTCGTTGGTTTTAGATTTCCAGAATGCCTTTGTTTCGGGGAGGCTTTTATCCGACAATGGCTTAATAGCTCACAAGCTTCTTGCTTTTATGAATGCTTCGAAAGCTAGAAAACGCTTTTATGTAGCTTTGAAGTTGGACACGAACAAAGCTTATGACCATGTCCGTTGGGATTTCTTATTTCGGGTTTTGCGATTGTTTGGTTTTTCTTCTATTGGATTCACATTATTCAACAATGTGTTTCCACAGTGTCGTATCAGGTTTTGGTCAACGGGAATCCTTCGCCTAGCTTCAAGCCTCAATGTGGTCTTCGGCAAGGCGATCCTCTTTCTTCATACCTGTTTGTTCTTTGTATGGAATTTCTTTCTGCTATGTTGTGTAAGGCGGAGGAGCAAGCACTTTTTAAGGAGATTCATATCTCCCGGGAGCTCCTTCCATCTCACACTTGTTCTTTGCAGATAATTCGTTGTTGTTTTTTCAGGTTTCTCCTTCGGCTTGTGATCAGGTTCTAGGTTTTTTGTAGGAGTTTTGTGCTATGTCTGGTCAAATGATTAATTTGCAGAAGTCTTTTGTCAAGTTTAGTCCAAATACTCTTTCTGATTACCGAGATCATCTAGCTAGCTGCTTACATCTTCGGAACACTGACAATCTTGGATCCTATCTCGGTCTTCCAGTAGATTTGGGACGTAAAAAGGTTTCGGACTTTCAATTTCTGGTGGACAAGGTGTCTCAGCGGCTTTCGGTTTTTAATGCTCTCTGCCTTTCGGTTGCCGCAAAATTAGTCATCATCAATTCAGTTTTAGTTGCCTCCTTCAATCACATTTTGTCAGTTTTCAAGGTTCCGTCGTCGATTTGTCATCATGTTGATAACATACTAGCTCGTTTTTGGTAGTGTTCCTCGACTGCGACCAAGGGTTTAGCTCTACGGTTTGCTTCTTTGCTTCATCTCCCTAAGGGACTAGGAGGTCTAGGTATTCGCAGTTTGGAGTGTTTTAACTCGGCCATGTTAGCTAGGCAGTGTTGGCGCATTCATCATTATCCCCAGGCCAACTCTTAGTTTTGAAGGTTTTATTGACCAAGTATCCATCTCTTTTCTCCTTACCTTCAAGTAGGATTCCTAGATCCTCTTGGGGTTGTCATGGATTGCTGATTGGAATGGACACTATTGCCAAGGGTATCGCTTGGAAAGTTGGCTCTGGCTCTCAGGTTCGCATAGTTAAAGATGATTGGGCTCTGGGGGGGGCTAGTATAATTCAAACATTCTTATGGTGGGTCGGATGTTCCGACTCATGTTTCCTCTATTATTAATTCGCGTTCTTACGCGTGAGATCCTTCACTGGTTCACTGGTTCTTTGATAACAAGACGACATTCCAGATTCTTTCAGCAGAACGCCCTTTAAAGCTGATGGACGACTTTATGCACTGGAAGTTTACTCGGGATGGCCAGTTTTCAACCAAGTCTACCTACGCTTTGTTAACCCGTCAAGTAGCGGCTTTGAGTATCAGTGGGCAGGCTTCTAATTCATGGTGGAAATTTTTCTAGGGTTTACCACTTCTTCCGAAGCTGAAGGTTTTTTGTTGGAAGATGATTCGCAATGCTTTGTCGCTTTCGGATTGTCTCTATCGGCGTGGTTTACCAATTAATCCAACGTGTGTGTTCTGTCGTAGGGAACCAGAAACGCCATCTCATCTCTTTCAGGACTGTGCTTTCGTTAGTACCTTCTTAGTTTCTCGACCCTTAGGCTCGGATGGTAGTAGTTTGGGTTTTCCGCCGTTTGAGGTTTGGTTTATGGAGTTGATTTCGGGTTTTAAAAGGTCTAAGGATTGGAAAGGTTTAACTTCTTTGGTTTGCATTCTTTGGGCTATTTTGCTGGCTCGAAATCAAATCATTTTCACTCAAGCTCTTCACTTTTCGGCTTCAATTTTCCACATTTCGGAGGATTGGGTGATGCGTTGCGAGAAAGCTGGGGTATTTGCTTACCGACATTTTGTTCCGCGTCAACCTCGCTTTTCTTCCTTAGTTCTTGTCTCTGGGTGCTTGTGTGGTTCCACTACTAATTCTCTGGATTTCTGCTTAATTTTCGATGGTGCTTGGGATTCTCAAGATAACGTTGTAGGGATAGGCTGGATTTTTCGGGATATTCAGTCCTCAGAGGTTTTAGGGGGTGGCTCAAGAGCTTGTCGGTCTTCGTGTGCTCTTCAGGCGGAACTTCAGGCGTGTTTATGGGCTCTTCAGGCTGCCAGTCGTCGGGATACCTCCGTCTTCTGATTTACACAAACAACACTACTCTTGTTTGCCTTCTCTGCCGCACTTGCTCGGATGATATCTCGTGCGCTTGGTTTTTGTGGGATACTCGTACTCCTTTTTTAACTTGTCATATCCGGAAGGTTCCTCGGCATTGGGTCTCTCCTGCTCATTTCTGTTTTGGTCTTTCTAGTTTTCTTTTTGTTGTTGCTTTTGTTTTTGTAGTTCCTCTTGTAAAAATAAAAAATAAAAAAAAATATGCCATCTACGTGACTACATCTACAAGCTTGAAAAAGAAATGAAAACTAGGTGACATTTTATGGTCACCAAATGTTTTTCAAGCATCGACGTACCAAACATTAAGATGGTATGTGTCTATATCTCCTTTGTTATATCATTGATTAAGAATTTTATTGTTCATGTATTTGACTGATTGTTATACAATGTAAGAACAAATAAAACCTCTAGCCTCTTAGGCTAAACATACAAAACCTCTCTTTATTTTGTCATTTTTTGCTTTAAAATTAGTTTTTCTTTTATTATTTTAATACAAGTTATCTTTCCAGTTAGAAAATTAAAGCTTTTAAGTTAGCTTTTAGAGATTTTCATCTTAAAGAAAGGACCTGAAATTGGGAACTAAGCTATAACTTTGACTAATGTTAATTTAGAAACCTCTAATATCGTTAACTTGTACTTCGTACTCCGTAGTAAGTTAAAGACAAAAGTTAACGAACGTCTTGAGGGCGTTGGATAAAAGTAGAAATATAAAATTAAAATGAACCTTAATTATACCGATTGACGCATAATTTTGACATGCATTCTCAAATTAATACCACTTTGGGAAGTATTTTAAATACTACCTCCGTTATATATTAGTTGCAACTTTTGAATATTTTATATCACACAAATAATACCCCAAAGTTACAACTAATACGTAATGGAGGTAGTACTTATCTAATAATATCTAGGGGTGTTCGTTCCTTAAGCTAATTAAACTATATGAGCTGCCCCGCATCTAACTGACTAGTCAGGTGGTGAGAAGTCACAAGTGAGTTTGGGCATATTTCATGGCGTAGGGCGTAGGTCATCCATCGATCTCAAGGCCGTAGTTCCTTCCTTTCTTTCCGTGCAGCAGATAAGTTTTTGGCCAATCAGAATTAATTTGCAAGTCAAACATAACATTTTGGGATATGGTTAATTTTTGGTAACTGAGATTTCATCAAATTACTTTCTGTCACGTATGTAATTATAATAATTTGGGTATTAATTACTGGAGTATTTACATTAGCAAGTGAATTCTCATACTACAGTAATAATTTAATTCCTATTTCAATTCCCGTTGATAATCTCATAACTCATAAACAATCAAGGAATAATGCTCCTTTTTGTGATTCCCATACCTACCTCTTATTCCTCTAAAGTCTAAACAAACTATAGGTAACAAATCTATGTTTATGTTGTGACTAGCAATTATTTCCGTGGGTTATTAACGAGCATGCTTAGTGAAGATAGTTATCACAAATTCGAGCTCTACCATTTACATATGCTTAGGAGTAGGCTGTTTTTTTTAACCTCTTTCTATACCCTCAAGCACTCAGTTACACTTGTGTAACTAGACTACTTGTGTAACTGGACTGATTGGCCTAGAAAAAAAATATTTCCATCTTAAATTTAGTTTAAGTAGGTACTATGCTAATTTTGGTAAATAAAAAATTGTTGCAACTAAATAATGTTGGGCTTTGATGACCCACTTTGTCAAACCGCATGCACATTCCATTCCACATTAGTATAATATTGTCCAATTTAGATTTTTAGGACTAATCTGTACGGATTTGTTTTTACACAAACTATTGGGTGTGGCAGTTCGCACACAATATTTAGTGCGGAAAATACTTTCCTTGTTCCTAACACCTCCAATAGCAGAAAAACACTCTCATCTTCTTCATCACTTTCTCACAAACTCATCTCCACCTCCTCTGTCGTCTTCTATGGGTGTCAAGATTTGCACAAACCTAGAAATCAAAATCAAATCAAACATTCAAAAACCCAAATAAAAACCTACAAAAAAAAGGGAAAAACCAATTAACTCAACAGAAACATCGAAATCATCAGTGAATCGAAATCAATTTGCTGAACTCAACGGTGAATCGAAATCAACAGAGTTAACAAGGATCGCCGGACTCAACTTGCTGAACTCAATGATGAATCGAAATCAACATTGGGCTGTTTTGCGGGGGACGTGGTGGCGATGTGGGCTGATTTGTTGGCTGATATGGTTTGGTGTGGTGATTAATGGAGGCGACGCAGGTGAGTTGCAGTGTGGCTGGTAGGGTGCTCACAGCAGGTCTGGCCCGGTGTTTAGGGGAGAGGTGGTGGGTGGACGGTGCAGCGGTGGTGCCCTGCTGGGTTGGTGGTTTGGTTGGTGGGTTCGGTGAAGTTGTGTGAGTGGAGTTTTTCTTTGGGGCAACAGGGGAGTTGCGTGAGTGGAGAGAGAAAATGGAGTAAAATAAAACTAATGATGCATATAAGCCAAAAAGTCAACATATCAGCTAATAAATGTCTGATATGAGTTAATATTAGGGAAATATTAAACATTAATAAAAACGTATCAGCCAATAAAAGGAATCTATCAGCCAATAAGAGGAATATCTCAGCCAACAAAAGGTACTTATCAGCCAAGATACGGAATATATCAGCTAACAAATGAAGCATATCAGCCAACAAAAGGATGAAATCAGCAAACAAAAGCAACAAGTAAGCCAACAAAATAAACACATCAGCCAACACATTGAAACATATAAGCCAACAATTAAAATTTACATATCAACCAACAAAATAAAGATATCAGCCAACCAAAGAAATATATCAGCCAACTGATGTCAGATAGCAACCAACGAAAGAAACATATCAAAAATAAATAAAAAAACACCTTCCCTAAATGAAAAGGAATTTATTAGCCAACACAAAAACCATATCAGCCAACAAATGAAACGTATCAGTTAGCCTGCCGCACGCATAATTTGCGTGCGGCAGTCCGCACCCAATAGCTTCTTTGTTTTTAAACACCTTCCCTAAATGCCTTATACTAAATGAAGTGTGCACCCACTTATAAGGAAGTCCTTTCTTCCTTATTTCTTCTATGTGAGATTTGGGATGAACAACCCCAACAAATACCAAAGTAGAAAGTTTATGATTAGGTATTTAAGGAGAAACTACAATTTGGATGATTCTTATCAACCCTTATACGAATGTATCTAAATTTAATATTTTAAAATTTATCTTAACTATGGAGTAAAATTTATTAAATCTATTTGGACTTTTTTTTCATTTAAAAAAGCTTTTGATTTAGAAATTCATAAAAAGTTCACGTGTTAATGACTTGGTGTGAAATTATCCGCTTTAAAACTAACCCGCACAGATTTGTTTTTTAACACTTTTTCAAAACTTCTCACACAGTTATACTAATGAAGTAGGTGGATATTTTTTAAGGAATGCAACCCTTCCAGCATTCTTTATTCTTTCCATGTGACAAATGGATTGCATACCCGAATACTTGTATATATCACAATTTTTTTTATTTCTGACGGAGTGAATTTTTAATACAAGCTTGTATCTTTCTTTCCGATCCTCTTCCTTAGTTCCTATGTTTACCTCGATACTACAAAATACCAAGAGCTTGAAATGTTGTAGAGTTGCTCGGGCTCCACATACGGGCGAGCACCATATAAGAGCCTGTACGTGCGGCCAGCAAAAGAGATCATGTTATGTATATCAAATAAAATCATCTCGTTAATTATAACGTGATATACTTTTGGAAATAATATAAGAAAAAATGGAAAAATTAAAAAATATAAAGTGAAAAATAATCTGGAAATTTAGTTAGGTGAGTCGTAGATAACTTTCAACTCTCCTCAAGGCGATTCACGCCTTCCAATACAAATCACAAGGAGTTAACAGCGCGTCGTCTTATACACTTCCTAATCTGTATATTAAGAAGTAGAAGCTTATATAATAACCAAATACCTGACTTAGCTTTTGTATATTATCCAAGTATGTGGGGGAATATTTTATTTTTGGTTTTTGAAAACGTATATATATATAAAACTAATACTCAAAAAACATTTTTATACACCACCAATCAATATTTTAACGTTAGAATAATCAGCTAGCAAAATGCTATATTTTAACTCCAAGCATAATCTAACCCCTTATCAAATATTATGACATTAAGTGAAAACCTTTAAAATCCTTTTTAACGGCAACTGTATTAACTTATGGTCAAAATTCACTTCTTATAGCTAGTTAATGCATTGTGCATGCATAATACTCCAAACAAGGTTGTATTCCACTAACCATTGTACTGTAAAGCTAAACGTCTCTTTGCTTTAAAGATGAATATCAAAATATTCAATGAGTAAAACAGTTGTTACAAAATTTAAACTTTATATTTAGATGTAAATAAATATACCATTATTAAAAACAAATTAAAAGTAGAGTAAAACTTGTAATTAGTTTAGTAACCGAAATATTTAAAATTTGAATGTAATAATATGATATTAATATTAATTATTAAATAATTTTTTTAGTTAAAATATCCAACATATACTAACATCTTACTAATACACTTTTAGAAATATAGATCATACATGCTAGATTTTTAACTTAATTTTGTATTGACCATTTAAAACTATAATGTACACCATAAACACAGTGAGATGTGGGAAGCACACATCTAGTGAAGGATCGAATAGGATTTTAAAGTAGCATTTACTCCAGCACATGTATTGTTCTGTTGACAATGTCTTTTTTTTTTTTCAAAAAAAAAAAAAAATCATAATTTAATATTAGGGGATTTCAAGAGTAAAGGAGAAAGTGGACTTTTCAATTATGCAGAAGAATTTTTCGTAACGAGGACCTATCATTTGTAATTTAAAGTGATAGAAGTTACTTCATTTTTTCACGAATATCACAATATTTCCATCGTTTATAATATATAACATAGTTTACTTTGATTTTTGCATAACTTTGATAATTTTTTTTCGCTTTTATTAATTCCTCAATTTCATAATAATCGTAACACTTTTCCTTTTTATTCATATCATAATAATTGCAACACTTTCTTATTTGGTAAGGACCCACAACTACTTTATTATTTCTCTCACACATTTTTTGTATGCGGCCTGCTGTATCATGCGACCAGCTTATATTACGGGTCCAGCCTTATGTAAGGCCCAAAAAAATAATGGACCCCCATTTCTAATCCCGTTTTCCGTTATTTTTAAAACAACCGTTTAATTTGAATTTCCGATCCCAAACTCTTTTTTCCAGTTTCCTTCCTCTTTTTCTAAACCGCCATTACTTCTGTGATTCTGTCACTTCAACTCTTTATTTCCTCTCTGCAATTCTCTTTCTTCTCACTTCTTTCTTTAATTTTGTCTGCAATTTTGTTCTTTCTCTCTCTAAATTTTTTTCTCTCTCCTCTAAATTTCCTTCTTTTTTCATCTCAATATTATCAACAATGGTTAAAATCAAGAAGGTCGTTTGTAAGGAAAAGAAAGGATTTTCTACATGATCTGTCGTTGATGATTCCGGTACTTTTGAAACCCTAATTTTTTTCGTTTTTACAATATTTTTATGATTGTTCTTTCTTTACTTGAATTCATCTCTAGTTTTTGGTTTTTTGATAATTTTCTTGTATTTGTAATTTATTGTAATTTTTTTTACATAAATCGTTGTTTTTTGTGAACTTTCAGCTTCAATTTCTTTGTTACTGTAATTTTTTACATTATTTGTTGTTTTTCTTTTTTAGTTTTACTGTTGAATTTCTTTTTTTGTTCACTTGATTTTGATTTTATTTATTCCCTAGTTTTGACCTAAGTTTCGAATTTGTTGATTATGAGTTATTATATTATAATCTTGTCAATTTTAGTAAATATATGTAATTTCTCATATATTTGATGTTATTATTAATAGTCATTTATGTAGGGGTTACTTGTTTTGTATTTTTGTCATGTTCAGTACTTGTTTATGTAGGTGTCACCTATCTAATGGTTTTCTTAGGGTTAATTGGTTCTTTTTAGAGTAACATAGTTTTAGTTTGATCTACGTTGTTGTTTTTTATGGTTGTGGTTGGTGATTAGAGTAACATAGTTAATTGTGGTTTTTTTTTTTTTTTTTTTTGGTTTGTTTAATGAAGATGCTAAGGATGTGAATGATTTGCATGGTTGTTCTTGCTGATTAGAGTAATGTAGTTGATTGAGGTTTTTCATTAGATTCTAAGGATGGAAATAATTTGCAACCTACTGAGGATTATATTTCTGCTGAGGATGTGAATGCTAAGGATGTAAATGTTTTGCAACGTACTGAGGATTAGAAATTTGTTGAGGTTGCTGAGGATGTAAATGATTTGCAACTTACTGAGGATTTGAAATATGTTGAGGCTATTGAGGATGTGAAATTTGTCAATGCGAAGAAACGAAAAGGTCGACGTGCTGCTGAATCTAGTCAAGAAGTTGATGTCAAGCCTGATGTTGAGGATGTGAAACCTGTCATTGCAAAGAAACGAAGAGGTCGTAAAGCTGCTGCTGGTTCTAGTCAAGTAGTTGAAGTTGTAAAAGTTGAAGGGTAAGGTGAAGAGTGGTATGTTTACATTTCTTCTTTCATAATATTGGTTTACTTGTTCTTGTTTTGTTTTATTTTAATCGTGCTTTGAATTTCTTGTTTATGTGTTACTTTTTGCATTATCGGGTTAGTTCTAAGGGGTTACTTATTATATTGGTTCTTTGTTTTTGTATTTCGTTTTGGTGTGTTACAATATTAGTTCCTTGTTTTTGTATTCTATTTTGGTGTGTTACAATATTGGTTTCTTGTTTTTGTATTCTGTTTTGTTGTGATATAAAATGGGTTAATTGAAATTAGAGGTTACCTATAATATGGGTTACTTGAAATTAGGTAATACCCATAATATGGGTTACTTACTTGGAAATATGGGTTAGTTTTTGGTAATATGGGTTACTTGGAATCAGAGGTTACTTGAAATTAATTTTTACTTATAATATGGGTTACTTGAAATTATGGGTTACTTGAATTTTGGTTTATATGGATTACTTGAAATTAGGGGTGAATTTTGGTTTTAATGGATTGCTTGAAATTAGGGATTACTTGAAATTATTGGTTATATGGGTTGCTTGAAATTAATTAAGGGGTTACTTAAAATATGTGCTACTTAAAATTAGGGGTTACTTGGAATCATGGGTTAGTTTTTGATAATATGGGTTACTTGGAATCAGGATTTACTTATAATATGGGTTACTTGAAATTTTGGGTTATATGGGTTGCTTGAAATTAATTAAGGGATTACTTGAAATTAAGGGTTACTTGTTTTTTGTGTTCCTTTTTGGTTAAGTTTTTGTTTAGGATGACTTATTTATATTTTATGTTTTTTTGGTTCAGGGATGATGAAGTTATCATGCGATGCAGACAAGCTGGTGTTGTTCAATTTTTGAAAAAATCAACTGAAACACAAAAGACAATTGTTACGTCTATTAGGTTTGGTAGTTTGGCATCAATAAAGTTAGAAATCTGTCTAAGGCAAATAATTTGCTGGCTTTGTGAACACTTTGATGCAAAGTCTTGTTCTTTTAAGCTACCTTCTGGACAAAGTTATAAGCTAACAATAGCTGATGTGCATGATGTTTTTAACATACCTATGGGTCCTTTTGATGTTTCCACTTCTGGTAGACAACAAGATTCTGAGTTGAAGGCTTCTTGGAAGAAAAAGTAAACCGGTGGTAATAAAGACATTACTGTTCCAGTTTTGGTTAACAAGATGAAAAGTGACAAGGGTATGTTAGAAAGGCAATGATGAATTCAAAAGATGTTTTGTGATGTTTGCCATGGTTACGTTATTTACCCCTACAACAAATAGACAAGATGATTTGAAACTAGTTCTAGCTTTAGAGGATGTTCTGAAAATCAGTAGGTATAATTGGTGTCAGTATGTTTCGGATGGTCTATGTGATAAGTTGTCAGGTTACAATGATTCAGTGAAATATGCGTTGCTGGGTGTGTACTTTTTCTACATATTTGTTATTTCCATAGGGTTTAAATTCAAGGGAATGTACTAGCTAGTTCCTTGCCATTGATTGAGCATTAGACTGATGAGTTAATCAAAGCTAGGATAAGCCTTGAAAATGGAAATTATGGTCAAGGTGTGTTAGATGAACTAACATACCCTATTACTAAGGTTAGGAATGCTGGTAAGATTAAAATGGGGAAAAATAAGGAAAAAAATTAGTTTAGGAGAAAAAAGAAGAGAAAAAAGAAGGGAAAGATGAAGAGAGAAAGAAGATAAAGGAAATCAAGAAAAAAAAAGGGAAAGAAGATAAAAAGGAAGGGAAGGAATCAGGGGAAAAAGAAAAGAGTTAGAAAAGGATGAGGAAAAGGAAGAGAAGGTAGAAAAGATAAAAAAGAGCAGTAAAAAGGATTCCTCAAAGAAGGAAACGGAGGAAAAAGAAGAGAGTTTGGAGGGAAAAAATGAGGAGAAGGAAACAGAGGAAAAAGAAGAGAGTGGAATCTGTTTTGAATGTCGTTCCTAATGTTGATGCTATTGTTTTTAATGCTGATGCTAAAGTGGTAGCTAATTTTAATGTTGTTGATAATGCTGGTGCTACTGTTCCTAGTTCGTCGGGTGTTACTGTTGCTTGTCCATCATGAGTTGTTTCATTTGAACTTCCTGCTGAAGTTCAAACTAATGAAGAAATTCGTCAAATTGCGAATAATGTGAGTTATTTTTTTGTGTTTATTTATTTATTTATTTATTTTAAATCTTTAACATGTTTTAATTTTTTTCAAGTTATTTAAGATCGGGGGTTACTTGTAGAGTTAAACTTGGGTCTTATACTTGGGAGTTAAACTTGGGTGTTATACTTGGGTTACTTGTATCTTGTAAACTTATTTAATTAAGTTATAAAGGGTTAAGAGGTTACTTAAGAAATAAGTTATAAAGGGTTAAGGGGTTACTTAAGTTATATAGGGGTAAGGGGTTACTTAAGTTATAATTATGGGGTTACTTAAGTTATAAAGTGTTTCGGGGTTTTTGGAGTCCCTCGGGAGAGTTACAATTCCAAGAATGCGCGTCGACCGTTTGTACCTGCAAAACCACAAAAACTCCGGTTGGGTGGAGTTCCGCCTCCGACAATCAAGTTAGAACGTATCCGGATGTATAAAAGTGCGGAATGTAAAGGTTTTTCTCTCGGATTTCGAGAGAATTCTGCAATTAATATTGCTCGAGTTTTGTGTGTATATTTATGAATGTGCAATAAATGAGGATTTTCCTCTATTTATAGTGTATATTTATAGTGTAAAGGGATAAATTCCCCTTTCATGGGTTGGAGTGCCATGTGTCACCAGAGGGTTGGTTCTCTCAAGACCTCTCTGATGCTGACAAGTGTTAGCACGTGATTGGTCCACGTGGACAGGGTTTATTTTTACCCTAAACATTTGCCCCTCACAGGTGTGACGTGGCTTGCCACGTGGCACCTGTGATAGGTGTCATGCTCTGAGAAGGTGACGTTTTGTCTCCTTCTCTCTCTATCTGTTTTTTTTTTTTAATTTGAATTTAGAAGGTGATGGTTCGCCTTCTGGGGTTCTCTATAAGTAACGACCCCTTCCCCTCATTTTCACACTTTGCAATTTTTGAGAATTTTTCTGAGAGAAAAGAGCTCTTATACCGGCTGCTATTTCTTGCGCAACCGTCTTCCTTTTCCTCACTCAACTGGTTATCATCTGAGTGCTCATCACCTAAAACACATTAGAACCGCCCGGGGGTCCTTTGACTGATTCCCTTTGCTTTCAATATACCCACAACCGGTTAACCGTCTGGGGTATCATCAAGCAACGCTTCAAAGGAACGTTTGGGTTGTTCAACAATTTTCAGTTGCTCTTCAAGTGGGTACATCCGGGCAACCGTCTGGGTATCTAGCAAGCAACACAGAGATTTCTGGCTGCTGATCCAGATAACTAACTTTCCCCACACTCAAAGCATCTTTAAGGTACCGTCTCTACCCCTTGCAACTTTTTGAGTTTTTCTGGTTGTATAACTTGTAAAGAATAATGGACTCACCCAACACACACACGGCACGACTTAGGACAATTGTCAGCCGGTCATCGGATACGGTTGAGTCTAGGACTGGGGATGCCGTCTGGGGGTGTTTAGACCACCCTTACTCTTCTGCGAATCCGACCGTCTCTGTTCATGTGCAAGACAGAATGGCTCGGACGAGACGGACGACTGTAGAACCCGATTACCAATTAGATGGCTCAACTGAACCTCTGGTTGACATTGTACATTATGACCATCCGGGTGTACCTAGCACGCCCAGTGATGATATCTTGGAAGAGTCCGAGGATATAGGCGATGAAGAAACCGTCCAACAATCAAACTCTTCAGAGTCCACCTTGGAACTGGATGCCCCCCAAGGGGATGAGGAGGCGTATAAATGGCCCTTCATCAATAATCCAACAGAGGCGTACATGATCGATAGGTATGTGGTCACTCTAAACACTACCTTACCCGAATTTTTACAGAAGCACCCGGTTGGGGTAGGATGGGAAATTGTGGTGCCGCTTGTAGAGGCAACCGTCGTCTGGGATGACGACCTTGATCACGCCGACAACTATTTTGGCTGTTATGAGGCGGCATTCAAAGCCGGCCTCCGGTTCCCTCTCCATAATACAATAAAAGCCCTTCTAAGAGGCTACGACCTTGGCATTTGGGAGTTAACACCCAATTCTTTCCCTGGTCACCTCTATTCTCAGCCTCCTTTAACACTTTTAACACCGTTTCTTTCAATCCAAGGCTGCAACTCTTTACTCTTTCTTTGGAAATATTATATTCCTCATCACTATTGTCAGATTCAACACCTAACCCCTCATCATCATCATCATCACATATTTCTTTCTCCAATTCTTCTCCTAATAAATTTGCACCCTCTTACTCACCCTTTAAATGCTCATCCCCTTCGACCTTACCTTCAAATTCATCATTGTTATACTCATCATCATACTCAAAAACATCACCATCACTCTCTAGCTCATACACACAATCATCCTCATAACTTGAATCAGAAAAGTCACCAATCAACTCATTCAAGGGAATTGGACTTTCAGGTCTATCATCTTCCCATTCATACTAATCACTAGATTCATGTTGTACAACGGGTTGTGAAATTGGTTTTAGCTCAATTTGTGATAGTATGGTTGGTGTTGAAAGATTTTGTGTTTCTAAAGTTAATAATTGTAGACACCTAATTGTGTCTCCCCAAAAAACAAATCTAGTGATGAGTATCTTTCACGTTTTTGATTATCGAGTAAGGTTAAGAGTTGAAGAGTCTCGTGAAATTCCCTTAAGACTTGACCATTTCTAACCTTTCCTTAAATGTTTTAAACCAAAATCATTCATTTCCTCGTGTGCTCTTTATAAAACGTCCAAAGCAGTCTATTTTGGTCCATGATTCTGGTCAAATTATTATGTAGTTGGATGAGGTTTGAAAAGATCTTTCCAATTATATATTATAAGCCCAAATCCGACTTATAACGAAGAAGTTATGGCCAAAATACTAAACCGAGCTCGGACAAAGCCTTGCCTGCGGCCCAATGATCATGTGGAGGGTCCATTAACCTTAACCTCATTCGTAAACCAATTAGGATTTATTAAAAGCTTCTAGAATCATCTAGAAGGTTGTTTTCGATCCTAAATCCATTAAGATTTTGTTAATCTGTCGCGCCGCGATGAGAAGCGTTTTACTCCGAGTCGGATTCTGATTCTTTTCTGATCATTAGACCCTTTTTTTTTCCTTATAAATAGAGGTCGTTTCACCCCGTTTTCAATCACCAACAATCATCATCTAATACCCTCTCTAATACTTTCTTTCTCTCTTGATTCTTTTCTAAGCCTTAGCCTAAATACGGCCTAACACAAATTCTTGATACATTTCCCAAGCAAACACCATACTTTCCTCACGAGCTTTGAATACTCCTAGCCAATCTCGAAGTTGCCTTTGACCTTGACGTGAAAGGTTGATAGTTTTGAGGGTTTGGTCCAAAATCTATATTTTAATTCTTATTTGATTTAATCTTTCTTGAAGTTTACTAACGTGTGTATTGTTTTGATAGAAAGAGATACGAGGCATCAAAGTAAGTAATTCGATTACTTAATTATTCTTTTGATATAGAAATCATGCTTAAGATCTTGTGTTAATTCCTAGTATCATGTTAGGATGTTTTTATGATTCTCAGTACATGTTAGGATGCTTTTATGATTTCTAGTATCATGTTTAGGCCAAAGCTTTGATCTTTGTTAGTGACATGCTAGGATTTTTTATTAATTCGTTTAGTATCATGCCTAGGATCTTACTAATAATACTTTGTTGATGATTTTGATTAGGATGATGATTGTTATGTCAATTATTACATTGCTTGATTATTCATGATTGATTGTTATTGCTTGATCACGCCCCTTCTTGCATGTTTAAAGGGAATTTGTACCTGAAATCATGCCTAATAAGATAATTGATAATTTGAATTTAGGCTAATATGATTTTAATTCAAGTGATCACCAATACTAGATTTGATTGTGCATTAATAATC